GAAGTGGGTCGTGATGTTGTAATTGGTGTTAATGGGGAAGTGGGCTTCGCTAGCAATCGGGCCCAATTCCACAGCGAAATTGGCATCTGCGCACCAGGCTGATATCCGCGCTTCCAATCTACGAATCTCGGCATCTTGGGCTGAGTAATGCTTGAAAAAGTATTTTTGCATCAAGACAGTGAACCATTTCCCTGAGCCAGCTGCCGTGACGGACTTGAACTTGACAGGATGGAAGTAGCAGATGGGGCTGAGCATCAAGCGATAGAGGAAGGGTAGCCGATGTAAGAATTTCTTTACATTTGGGTACGATGTTTTGCGAAGAGTGGAGACTCTGATCGATTTGGTCGGTGGGTGAGGTATCGAGGGTTGCCCGTGGATCTGGGTACAAATCGCTGCCCGGAAATCATCGAGGTTTTCAATATCCAAGCGCACTCCCGGTTCTTCTTTTGACTTCTTCGTGTTTTTTGTGTCCTTTTCGTCGTCGGTCAAGCTAGCCTCCGCTCGTGCCTTCGAGGCCTCTACTAGCCCCTCCTTTGCTTTTGTAATGGCGCTTGTGTCGTTGATATAGCGTACCAGCTCTTTGTACTTTGTGTGGGCGCGCTCTTCATCTGGTGAGATCTTCTTGACAGATGAGAATGCGGATTTGGTGTCTTCAGCCTCGGTCGGTATCTTCCCGGCCGTAAGGTTTCGGACCATATCAGCCGGGCGGCCGTTGGCGTTGCCTTTTATCGTTGCCGCTCTGAGGATGGCAGTGTTGGTGACGACTACAGATTCATCGTCATCTGGTTCTGGAACGCCGTACTGTACGTCTCCAAAGGTGACTTCCCAATCCCCACCCTTCACATTCGCATACACATCGTCGACAGTTATCTCACGGAAGAGGGGTACGACGACTTTGTCGACTTGGATGCCGAGTTCAATGTCGTCAGCGAGCTTTATCCCGGCTTCAACTCCATGAGCAACAAGTGTCATTGTGGAGAGTGAGAGCGTGACTCCCCGGACGACGAAAAGTCCTTTGACTTCGGTGTCAATTTCAAGAGCAGGCAGGTCGAAGAAGGCTATCTGATCGTTGATAAAGTGCAGGTCTCGTAGGAAAGTCTTTCGCAGCGTGCGGCGCGCCAGTGCAGCAGGTGCTTCGAATTGGAAGAGACAGGTGATGCAGAGTACAGGCCAGCAGAGGGACCAGAATACCCAGTACAGAAGCCATGATGTCGCGCATACTGCGTAAATGAAGTTGACAGTTGCAAAGATGGTCCACACGGGAACGAAGGGTAAGATACGATGTCCATAAGCCTCGCCTAGTAGGATGGCGTAGACAAGTATGGGCGCTCCAGAGATAACCCATCGTAGCGGCCAGGAGAGAGTAAGGGCTGCCAAAAGAGTGGCAGTGAGAAAGGCATCCGGTATTAGTCTACTGGTAAGCTCGCGTTTGCGTTCTGGCTCAAGCGAAGGCCCAGGTGCAGTCGGCGAAGGTACAGGTTTTCGCTTGGAAGCAGCCGGCGCTTCACGTCTCGGGGGTGAATCCATGCCTTTGAGGCTCCAGAGGGTAGAGGGGTAAGGTCAAAGGGAGTAGAGGTTCCGAGGGAGAGAAGGCATCGTGTTTGTGGAAAATGACCTAGTGCAGGCGCGGTCATTCAAGCCCTGGAGCAACTCGGCTCTGTTGGTGTGACGTCATGCCCACTGCCGTGTTCGGACTACCCCCGCACCCAAAGCAGAAGGAACAATCTGAGCCAGACCTGATTTGTCGCAGGAGAGGGCATGATGGCTGCCGCGGTTGGCCAAGACGTGTCTGTATAACCGTTGGATCACCGCTTCCACCTGTCGATCGTCTGTCCTGAAGCCCAGGTTTCCATGTATTGAACGGTGACGTAAACGCGCTAGTGGCTCATTGGTCACATCTGCAGGAACGAGGGCAATGAAGGGATTAAACAGGTCTCTACCTCCCGAGGATGATTTCATTCGGGTTCTATCATGTACGGCCTGGCGGGATTCCAGACCAGGTCCCATTCGAGAACCACGTACCCGCTCTCGTAAAGTCGCTATATGCTACGTTGCCAAACAGTCGATAATTGATGAACCCAAACCGGAAGTACTCATCTTTCGCATCATCCGAACGACTCCAGGTGAAGTTTCCTGTGTCGCTTCCACCAATGCCCCGATACCTTTCCACATCGTTGACCACCACGCTGACGCCTTCATATCCGCTGAGTAGACTCTCCCATGCGAATGTAATGCTCGAACGATTCACGACTAGCTCCAGAACAGCTGGGATGCCAGATCCGAGCTGGCCATCTCCTCTCAGCGCCGCTGCTGTCTGCAGTATAGAGTCAAAATCCCATCGTGCAATACCATTGACGAAGAGTCCAACGAGCAAGCCTTGACACAGCAAGCTCACGCGTGTCTGCAGCGCAGTACCTGGAAGGAGTAGGAGAGCGATTATGTAGTGGTGTATCCTAAGTGTAAGCTTCGGCATAGCTGCAAGGATACCCAGCCCAAGGCCCAATGTAGCGTATAGTGCAAGATAGCGTGGCAGTCGCCCTTCCTTACGGAAACACCATGCTTGGTACAAAACGACGGCAAACAAAATCAGCACGATGATTACTAATGCTGTGATAGCACCAGGCTGTTGTCGGATGTCGTTTCCTGTGAGCCGCTGTATGGGTATACGTTCAAATGTATAATTACCCAGTGCGCCAACCCAGGCACCGCCTACCCAGAGTATGGTCTTTTCGATTTGCGCCCTGCAATTACGCAAAGACTTGCGAACACTGAACTGATAGAAGAGGGCAGCAGCCAACGCCGCAGGCAAGAAGCGGCCAAGTGTTGTAGAGGCCAGGGAGGCGTAGTTTGAGTACGAGGGCGGATCTGATGCCATGCCGGTCTGGAAAAACAGAATCGTAAAGACGGGCGCAAAGAACGTCGCAGGGCTCGTGGTAAAGATGCCGAACAGAGCAGTGAAGATGGTCGAGAGGATCAGCAGATTCCAGCGCGGGTCCTCACATTTGGCCGAAGCCTCGCCAAAGGTAAAGGACATTGGAAAGTGCGAGTCGAAGCCAATGCTGCTGATGCCATGTTGTGTCACAGCGCCGAAGCTGTCGCGCTCTCCTACCAAGGAGAGAACACCGCAACCGCCGCTGCCATCGCTGATTACTCCAGCGTGGATGGCCGCCGAGCATATGAACGAGTCCCCGCGATATACGAGCCCATCGCCCTGGGAATCCGGCGTACCACCAATCACCAGGGATCGATAGTTTATAACCTGCGGACCGATTGCGCGAGGGTTTAGGACTTGGGCGCTCGAGCAACCGGCGGGGCAGACGAAGGCGAACGAGGCGTTGGAGAAGGGGAGGCAGTTGCGGCCGTCGGTTCCGCAGCTCTCTAGAGAAGGCCTGGCGACGATCAGTACAGTCATCACAGCTTTGCGTACAAGAGGAGAGGCCGTACCACAGGTTGTTGATACACGACAGCTTGACAGGCGCCCCCAACCCTCCAATGTCAGACGGAAGCCCGCCGTCACTGATGACTACCGCGAAGACAACAATCCACACGATGCATGCCGCCGCATACACACAAATGCGCAGCCATTCTGGCAGCCGCGCGGGCAGACGCACAGGAAGCGTCTGCCAGCGCTCAAGAAAAGGCGTAATGGTGTATCTGCTCAGAGGCTTCGGCCCTTTGATCCAGTCGACAACCTTGCGGTTCCAGCGAGCGACGGGCGCCGGCGTGCGCGCGCTGAGCCTCTTCCTCCATGGCGGGGTGACTTCTAAGTTCTGACCATTCGGTGCGACGCGGTCGCGGGAAGGGTCGCGTTTGGTCCCATGCTCGAGGTCGATGGTTTCCGGCACCGCGCGCTCGGGCGTGTCGCGTGCGGCCATTCGGGGGGTTACAGGTGCGAAAAGAACGACGGCAGCGGCTATGAACACGCGATTATCATGTTGCAGAAATGCCAGAATACGAACGATAAGTATGCGACAAGAGAATATCGACCTAGAATGAAGTGGCGCACGGCAAGCATCATCGACTCGGACGGCTGCTGGATTGATCCACTTCGCCGCGCCCGAGGCCTCAGAGGCTGGTTCCGATGCACCCGCAAGCTAAACACCCAGTGGTCCTCTGCCCTACAACCCCATCCCGGATGCGAGAATACCGCTGAATTACACCTCGTTGCGTGAGGCCGGATACGAGTGCCGAAGCCAGGCACAGCCACGCTCGTTGCATGAGTCTGCCGAGTCGGAGCTGAGCATGCCTCACATTGGCACCGTCGAAAATGTCGCGACAATTCCATAATGAACAAGGCCATCATTACTGTTTCTGGTCGCGAGCAAAAGACGAATATTTCAGAACACTCTCCATGGCAAGAATGAACAATGCGCTGCTGTTTTATCCAGAGTACACGTCATCTGTAGATCTGACCTACATGAGCTGTCGGCAGGGCTACCGTTCCTTTTCTTGTATCATCAACCGGACGGCCTCCATCAGCTAGATACGTACCACGCGGCCATCGCAGTGGTATCATTGTTCAGACCGGTCTCGAAGTTCCCGCCGCATGCGCTACGTTTCGAGTGTCGACACAAACTTTGGCGTCCTCTGCGAAACAAGTGCACGTTTGGAGGGACCCCATGAAGCGGATACAATCCCCCGAAAACCGTAGCTGGTGCACCACATGGTCTCAAATAGGCGACAGACCTCCCTGGTACAGGGATCGTGCTGGTCATGTTTGGTACGGAAAAGTCATGGTGGGCGTTCTCTTGACCAACCGCATCTCGTGGTAGCAGCCCACACCGAAACGTTCACCCGCTTCAGCACGTTTTTGGCATCTGGTACTTTTTGTATGGAACCACTAATAGCCGGCTGGGGTATGGCACCCGCATTACTGCCATTTCAATATCCTCGCGTGCTGTGAATCTTCCTCGTCTCTATGGGAATCTTACCTCGCAATGGCTGCACCGAGCAGACCATATGATACCCCACCGGTGCTGGTACGCCGTAATAATCCAAGGATGGCAGCTACGCCCATCGCAGTCGAGGGCAAGAATGAGGAGAATATGGACATGGACTTGGGGACAGGCGGGACGAGATCCCAACAATCGGATACGAGCAAGAACGAAACTCCGGAAGGTGCACCACCAATGCCATCGTTACGGTCACTGGACTCTCTTATGGGTACACAGGGTGTACTTCCATCGCAGTCCGAACAGCTCTCAACACTGGCCGTACCAACGCCTACCGATGGCCAGGGATCAACACTTCAAGCTTTCACCGCACCTTCGTTATCGATGAATGCCACCTCGACCTTCTCTCTTAACTTTGTAGCATCTACCATCCGGCCAACTCTTACTGCGCAAGCAGATGCTGTCGCCATGAACGAGGCCATGACCATCCAACCTGCTTCAACTGCAGTCCCAGGCCTTCTAGCGGACTCTTTCGCACAGGATGAAATTGCAGCCCTTCCCGGTGTCAACCAAGACGACCCGTCATTGGAGACAGTACCCGGAATGAACCAAGGTAAGCTCCTGATGAAGAATACACCTTGAGGACGTGCACGGAGTGTTGACTTTCATCTCTTTAGAAACTCCTGTACTGTTGACTACACCTGTAGTGACACCTCTCGCAACCCCTGAGAGTACGACTATACCGTTTGCAACTTCGGCGATGACAGTGGGAAAGCCTATGCCTGGGAAGAATCAACCGAAGCCTACAATGGATGTTTCTGCAGTGTCTTTCATGATTCTGAGCGACTCCCGCTCAACGGCTATGTCAACTATGTCGTCTTCTTCGGCAGTGAGCACAGCCACTGAATTCTCTACGAGTTCTTTCTCACAGCCGCCAACATTGGTCATCTCGACTTCATCCCCGAGAGCGTCCTCGACAACGACAAAGCCTTCATCGCTACCTCCAGTTCTCACTTTTGTCACCATCACGCGGACAGCAGAAGGCAAAGAAGACATCCGGCCATCCACTCAAACTATAATGGCGCCACAAGCTGTCACCACACGACAGTCTGTATCCTCAGGGCTTCGAACATTGTCCCTAGCTTCCGGATCAGCGCTGCCTTCCAGTCTGGCCACCGCCGTCAGTGTTGAGCCGCAGCACGGCTTGACCCCTCTCGCAAGAACACTGTTCATTCTGTTCGGTGTACTGGGTGAGTACCGCATCACATCCTTACATGACGAATCTAACATGAACACAGGCTTCGTCACGATCCTCCTCGCCATCGGTGTAACCCTGATAATGCGATCGAACAGAAGGCGCGCACAAGCAGCCCGAAAACAAGCCGCTGGAAGCCCCATCAAAGACATCGAAGAATGCGATGGCTACGGAAACATAACCCGCGTATCCGCCAACAGCTCAATCAAAAATTTCCTAACCGAGCCCGAAAAAGCCATCGTAAACCGCGCCGCTACGCCAGACGGAGAACCAGACGTAAGCACCCTTCACCCCCAAACCCAATACAACGACGCTAACGGTATTCTTCAGGCAAGCACAAGACCCACCAACGCCCTCACCGAAGCCATCAACTCCTTCATAACCAAATCGCGTCGCCTGACGTACAAAATATCGCCCTGAGGCCTGTATGTAGTAACGGAGAGGTGGAAATCAACACATGCTTGAATGGGTCACCAGCGCAACCTCGTACTATAATCGTTGCAGGACTTGATAATCAATTGTACATAGCATGACAAGACTGTATATACAAGATGGACATCGTTACAATAATCATGCAAAATGGGTTGTGAACCTTTGACCCCAACACCACTAGCCTCACGCGTCTACCAACTAATCCGTAGTGTGCGTAGCAAAACTCCACCAAAGCCGCGCATGATACAGGTAGCTAGTACACGAAGCTCAGCACAATCACGCCACAATCAGCACGCCACAATCAGCACCTTCGGGAAAGCCGCTCGTTCCATCCGTCCATCTAGCTAGCGGAAGTAACTAGTTTACTGCGGCGTAGCGGCGTAGTCCTTGCGGAAAGCGCTAGCGCTCGAAGTGCTTACCAGCATGAGCGTTAGTGGCTGTTAGTGCTGGGTTCGACGGACCCCACGCCGGACTTGCTACTTAGGGTAGGTTTGGGGTGGTCAGCTTGCGGGGAGTGGGAATTGGCTGGGAGGGGGGTGGAGGGTATGATGGGAAAGGGTGTGGGGGCGGGAGGAATGTGTGTTGGGTTTGGGATGGGCGAGGCTGAGGGGTGGGTTTGAGGGTGTGGGAGGATCGATGCGATGGGGGGTTTTCTTGTAGAAGTGGGATGGGGATGCATGCTGATTCGTTGATAATTAGTTTTTGCCTGATTGCTGTGAAGGCTGTAAAATAGTAGGTTTTGTCTGGCTTCCACAGACTTGGCGTGCCTTGTTCTGCGGTTGGTGTCATACGATATGGGCAGGCTAGCTACCTTGCAGCAGCCTTGTAAGCGTGCAGAACGTCTTGATTATAATAGCTTGTATGCACCTCTTTTGCTATATGTGACAAGTGATGGTAAATGAATGAGTGAGTTGCTCATCAAATTGGGAACAGAACCTAGCGATACCCAAGACAGATGACCTCCTGGCTAGGTAGGAGCAAAGAATGCCCTATAGTAGACGTGCAAGTACACAGTCTCCTCGCCAACTTGAACATCCCCTGGCAATGGAAACTCCATCTTGTCTGTCTCTAGGAATCCTGCATCGGACATTAGTTTGAAGAATCCTTCTTCACTCGAGTGGCGCATTTTCATTGCGATGGCAATCCTGACTTTAGGGTTTGCTCTGGAGAGTCGTGCAAGCGTTTTGACTAGTGCGGGGCTGTAGTTGTAAGTCAGCAGTACTCCATGCATGATGCATGTGAAGTGGGTGAGAGGAAGCACACCTGCTGTCTGGGTTGTAAGTGCAATCAGCAGCGAGAACAAGATCGAGAGGTTCTGAGCTAGACTGTACTTCACCAGGTAACTCTGCATCCCAGTCCAGTTCCATGAACGCGAGTGATGCACCTGGTGCTTTGACCGCCGAGTCGATGTTTCGCGCAACGATCTCTCTAGCCTCTGGAAGGTCGGTTAAGAGAACCTTAGAGTCGGAGACTGTTTGAGCGATTGCGATGCCGACCATTCCGCAGCCAGTGCCAAGTTCGAGGACATTCAGATAAGGTTCGGATGCAATACCATATGGTAGTAAAGCTTCTGCTAAGCTGGATCTTGGATTGTCCAGAGCCGTCATTTGACATGAGAGTGTGATACCAGCGTCCCTAGATATACAATCAGTACCTCGAATAGACTGTATTGTGACATGAAGATGAATACCATAGATGCCTCGCTATGCTTTCTCCCGTCTCCTCCCAGATAGTAGTGATGGGTCCATCTGGCAGCTTGAACCGTCTTTCGACTAATTTCAGAGCATCTTGTTCTGACGCGAAAGGTGGGCTCCAGGCAGATACAACACCCCGAGCACCTTTTTCTGCTATGGCCGCGAAGTCATCGTGTGTTCGTTTCGGCTCCCCACCCACTCTTACTCGCAAACTGGACTGGGAAGACTGAGATTTAGGGAGCGGGAAAGTGATGGGCAAACTGCGCATGCCGGCTGTCCATTGCACGGTCGACCATACTATCACGCTTTCTTCTGACCCATCTGTAGTTGCTGACAACTCTGCTGCTAGCTGGATGTCGTAAGGGAGAAAAGAATCTCCAAGGTCTGAAGTAATGGTAATCAGACAGTGGACTTGCTTTCTCGACGTGCCCTTTTCAGCGACTACGCGGGGACTTTTGAGGAAGCGGACGTATCGCATGGTTCATTGTAGGATTGGTCGGAAGGGGCGTGCCGAAAGCAGCAAGACTGTGGGGGTGAAAGGCTGGATTGATGTGGGGTGCTGGGACGGCTGGCGCAGGGCTGGGGAATCTGAACCTAGAGCGCCAACCGAGCCGCATCTCATCGACCACGTCGTCATACCTCAGTGTGTCAGCGTGAATGCGCCTGCTGTCCTGTTGAAGCCAATGCACTGTCGCATCGCAGCACTCTGCTGCTCCACGCAATACCCACCCGCTTCCACTGAGTGCTAGGCACCGTCGTCGTCATCGTCACCATGTACCGTCGCAGCGACCCGCGGTGGAATCGCACGCTCCATCAGATCACAGAGAACCTCGAGCACGCAAACGAATCGGCGCAGGAGAACATCTACGGCTTCACGCAGCGCTATGTTAATCCGTGCTTCTCGTCGATAACCCAATGCGTCAACGCGTGCACGGCGCCATGCTTCCCAGCGCACAACGACCGCCGGCGCAATCGCGGGCGGTCACGAGGCCGGGCAGAAGTCAGCTTCGACTTCTACGACGACTGGGAGGACGATGAGAACGACGGCCTGCTGGGCTGGGGCAGCGACAACCTCGACCGCTTCCTCGGCGGCGCCTCCAATTATGGCGCAACTACGCAGCCTGGTCGACAGAGCGGCATGAGTTATGGACAGCGAAATCGCGACCCGAGATATAATACACCGCGCCGGAAAAGCACGACGCTGCCACGAGATGGCGCCCAGGACCCGACTCTCATCCCGAGTTCCTCGTACTTTGGCTTCTTGGGACGGTTGCCTTTCAAGATTGGCGGCAGAGGACTGCGATACAAGCCCTCGGCCGCAGACCTCATAGAGCACCCAGGCGCAACACGAAGAAACCGTGAGGAGGAAGAGCCACTGATAGAGGACAGCGACGAGGATGCGCTCGACGGGCCCGAGAACAAAGGCCACCGCCGACAGCGAAGCAACACGCACACATCGGGCCACACAACCGACTCCCTCAGCTCGCGAGGCGACATCTTCCCGAGCGAGGACGAGCTGGAAGACGCCGTGCCACTCGATGACGAATTCACCATCGCCCTCGAGCGCCGCACAACGGGCCAATGGAACGAAGACACGCCCAGCAGCAACAAAGCCCGCTCAAGCAAGAGCAAGCGCCCCTCCGCATCCCGCGTATCCACGCGCACGCTCTCCTCCCGCAACACAAGCAACTCGGACAAACCGCCCCTCTCCGCGCGCTCCGTCTCCGAAACAATCGAACAAGTTCCCCCCACGCTCGACGAACTCTCGAAAGAAGAAGAACGTCTTCGTTTAGAAGAGGAGAGGGAAGTCAGTCGCAAACGGCAGGAAGCGCAACAACTCGCCGTCAAGCGCGGTCTAGCGCCCGATCAACCTCTCTCGACCAAATCTAGTACGCCTCGTTCTGCGTCGCCAGCGCGACTTATGACAACAGTAGACTCGACTGTATCTCCGCTTGTACGCACGCCCGTTGGCGAGACTGCGCCGTCGATGGACCAGAGCGATGCGATTCCTTTCCCGAGTTTCGTAGATACGCAGACGATGCCGGATAGTAGTGCGTTCTATGTGGATGAGAGCGATTACTCGAGTAAGGCTGTTACGCCGAATCGACCATTGTCTATTAAAGACGAGGTGAGAGAGGAAGACGAAAGATGGGGAGTTGGTGAAGAGCCATTTGTTCCGGCTAGGTTACCGCATTTTGGATCTGGATAGACACTGGAATAGATGAAGAGATAGACGGTGATTGCTGTATGAAGGCATTTATTGCACTGTTATGAGGACATGTAATGGGCATATGAAGAGACGCAGCGGGTAGCATGTGTTGTAATATAACAGTCTGAGCGATTCGATTCAATTCATCTTGTCAATATTACTATCGGTTGGCTAAAAGCCCATGTTGCCAAATGTAATCTGCTTCTTGGTCAACCCTTGGTATATCTCATCTAGCACGCCTCTCTTCCTTTTCTTATCCACTTCCTTCTCTTCCCGCTCCAATTGCTCATCCTCGTCTGCTTCAGCGTCTTCTTCTGTTCGCGGCGTCCATGCCGCTATACTGCCATCGGCATGCGCAGAATACATCTCTACATGATGTGGCCGCCACGCTAGACTTGTGATTCTATCCTTGATATTGCGTTGTCCCTTTGCTGTTGCACCAGACGTACTAGGTGGATTGTTCGTCTGGGGCTGCTGTGAGCGGCGCAGACGGCGGATCAGCTTGCCGTCAAAGAGCTCGTAGCTAAGTATCTCATGCCCGTTGGGGTAGAACATGAGATCGGCACCTGGCTGGAGGTTCTGCGTGGGTGCAAGTACGGGGATACGCGGCGCAAGCCCAGAGTTCTTGACCATGGGGCCGAAGTTTGCGAGGGTATTGGCGCCGGTATCCGTGTCCCAGACGCGCATTCGCGCATCGTGGCCGCAGGAGACTAGGTGTTTGCCGTCTTCTGTCCAGACGAGCCCGTTCACGGCGTCTCTGTGCGCTTGTGCGTTGGTAGCGTTGCGTGTAAACGACGCGGGCTTCCCTAGTATGCCGACTGAGTCCTCGAGATCCAGTACGCCCAGCTCACCGACGCTGCGGCGTACATCCCAGAAGCGTACACTGCCGTCTGTAGCTCCGCTCGCGAGAATGTGTTCGCGCACAGGGCTCCATGCTGTGGAGAGGATTGCGCCAGAGTGGCCCGCTAGACTGTGTGTGGTTGCGCCGGAACGCAGATCGACGAGACGGACGTTGGGGTGTTGGGTGGCGCATGCGACGAGAAGGTGCGATGCGATAGGCGACAGGGCGATGTTGTACACGACCGAGTCGAGATCGAAAGACGCTGACGTCGCAAGTGTTTCGCTGGAGTAGAGCTTGACGGTGTGATCGTACGAGGACGTGAGGAAGGCCAGAGAATCGAAGGGATAGAATTGTATCTGCGTAATGCCCAGCTTGTGCTCTTCGCTCGTCTTGTTCACCGCCGTCAAAGGCAGATGTGTCTCTCCCGCCTCGGTTGCCGTGGTCTGCGCCTCGAGATCCCATACCGCGATGGAGCTGTCGGCACCTCCAGAAAGCAGATACCGTCCTTCGAACTTGTCGATTGTCAGCGCGTTTACTCCGGATACATGCGCCGGTATGCGCTCGCGTGGGTTGTCGGGAGCCGGTAGGTGCTGACTGAAGGTCACGGCGGAAGACGGTTGCAGCGCGTAGATAAGACGGGAGGCATAGGCGCGCTTGAGGACATGGTTGGGAATGAAGCCGTACGCGCGGTCGAGCACGTGTTGGGCGTTCATATGCGACTACATGCTTCGTGTGTGTTGGAGCGAGGGAAAGAAGAACCTTGGAAGGCGCAGAGGGTTCCAAGGTTATGACGTTGTAGCCTGGCGTCCACACGCGACAGGGATCTGCAGTCGCAACACATTCACCAACGGGCGCTCAATCCTTGCAAGCGAGCCGCGTACCTTTGCACTCCGCCTTACCTTAGCACAAAAACAACGATAAACATTCTAGAGCTATCTTGCATGGCTGCTGTCAAGAAAAAACTCAAGATTAAACGCACGAAATTTCGCAAGCGCCGATCCACCGTCTACGATGCCGTCAAACGTAAGAGACGCCCAAGTTCATCATCAAGACAGTTGATCTAAAGATATCTAGGCAGAGTCGCCCGAACTGGTCTGATTCACAACATCTCTGATCCCAAGGCATCCAGGAAACCACTTCGGCCAGACGAGGTACTCTTCAAGCGAAAGAATGCGCCCATCCGATACGAGGAAGATGACTATTATCCCGCTCACAACAAGTTACCTCCAGACCAAAAGCTGCCCAGCGGAGATCTGGCCACCGCAATGAAAGCCTACATCGAGAGGCTGTGGGTCAAAACTGGACGACGCCGCCGCTTCTCGCGCAAGCTTATGCGGAGGACGTGGAGAGGCCTGAACGAAACCGCGCTCATTGCTCTGTGCATCCTGATGGAAGAAACGGCGCGCGATGCACTGGGTGAGACAGGAGATTTGGCCTTTACCGAAGCAGCTGAGGAACATGAACATGAGATTCTCACGAGTCTGAAGAAGGCGAAGAGGGCGACGAAGAGTGGTGCGCAGAAACAGGGTACTGGTAAAGAGAAGGAGCAGCCAAGTGTTGATAAAGAGAAGCAGCCGGTTGAAAAGAAGACAGGGAAGCATGTGACGTGGGTTTCGTCCGATGAGTCGTCGACGTCGTCGTTTGATGACTCAGAAGAGTCGGACGACTTTGAAGAGGATCTGGATTGAGTATCACAATACGTGGAATGGCGAAGTTCAGGAGTGAAAAGTTTTCATTTCGACCTGGAGCCAAAAGATTCGCAAGGAGGACTTGATGGGTCAAAGATGATGCCATGTGTATCACCGCCTTGTAGGCCCGTTTGAACGCACACCTCTGATCTTCACGCCGTAATGTTCAAGTTCTACTGCAGAAAGGAGATTACCGGGTGTCGTAGATGAGTGCCAATAGTGTTGATGCGATCGAGGTTCTAGCTGGGCTGAGGTCGTGCCTGCCTCCTACCACAGCCGGGAGCCTAGCGTGCCTTCCTTCAAGCGGGAGAAGACGCGATCAAAAGCGTGCTCAAATCTCGCGACCTTAGTCTTAACACGATCGCCACAGCCATCGCTTCTCGGTCTTCATTGCTACTTCACTTCCGCTGCAAAAGCATTTGTCTTCTTAGTCGGGCGAAAATGGTCAGTTCAGACATGATTCCCACTCGCGCACTCACTCACACTAGCAGGCACCCAAAACTCAGCCCAACCCGCAGAAGGCGGCATCTATTCTTGCCTGGTTCCATAAGACGGCGCAGGCTCATAGCATCAAGGACCTCGAAAAGACGCTGCCACAAGTCTCTTCCATCAACGGCATGCAGGTCAAGGACTACCTCCAAGCACTCTCAGACGACAACAAGATTCGCGTCGAGAAGATTGGTAGCGGCAACTGGTACTGGAGCTTCCCAGCCGACGAAAAGAAAGCCAAAGATGCTGCTGTCAAGAAGGCCCAAGAGGAGTTCGACAAGGCCACCGCTACTGTAGCTGAACTTCAGGCGAAGGTGGATGATGCAGGTGCAGCTCGCGCTGATGACGAGGAGATGCTCATGGAGACAGGTAATTACCAATCTACCATGCTTTGCACTCATGCTCATCACTCGCAGGTGGCGACCGCAAGACACTGATTACGAAGCATACCGACCTCACCAGAGACCTCGAGAAGCTCAGGACTGAGCTAGCCGCGTACAGTGAACAAGACCCCGTCGAGATGGAGAAGAAAGCCGCCGAAACTCAGCAGGCTCATCTTGACGCTGAGAAGTTTACCGACCAGATTTACGCCATGCAGGGCTGGCTTAAGCAGACTATGTGTGGTGGCAGTGGAGGGTACGAATATCTGGAGATACTGAGGTCCTTCTATCAGGATGAGTTTGATGAGGAGGAACTGGGCTTACGTGAATTGTGAAACTGGGGAAGTCTGTGGAATGTGTTCACGGAGTAGCCATAGAGTAGGTTACAACGTGTGTGTGCACGCGTAGCGGTAAGGCATAATTACGGCCATACAGACAATATAGTGTATGTACAATCATTTCGACTCATTCGAGTGACTGCTGCGCCATGTTCGGTCTGGCAGTGCTTGAGTCATGTTTGAGCATGGGCCATCTCCAGGGTTAACATCTTTCGCTTGTGAAGGGCGTCATCGCAAGTAGCTTTCGCCAAACTACCGACAAAGGCCTACCGTACAAAGAGGCCTCGCCCGCCTGCCTCTGCCTGACCATTCACTTTCGCACAACTGTCTGGAACCGTCCATACCACCAATCCTCTACACTGACCCCCTAGACCAGCAACAATACCCCGCGATGGCCTCGACAGGCGCCTCAGAAACCCCGCAAATTCCTGCAAGCCCGCAACGGAGAGGGGGAAGAGGGCGTGGGCGCGGCAGAGGTGCACACGGTGGAGAAGATGGCCACGAGAAATTCGGAGGGCGAGGCCGTGGACGGGGCGGCTTCCAGAACCGCGGGCGAGGTCGCGGCAACAGAGACAGCGCGGGCACTCGCGGTGGACACGCGCCGGAGAAGGGCAAGGCGCCTGCCATAGACACAGAAGAGAGCGGACACGCCCCACCGACTCTCGTCAAGCCCAACCTCCAGCAGTCGGACAACGAAGACGACGATGCCGAAGTCTGCTTCATTTGCGCCTCGCCCGTTCAGCACACAGCCGTCGCTCCTTGCAACCACCGCACATGTCACATCTGCTCCATCCGAATGCGGGCGTTGTATAAAACAAAGGCCTGTGCACATTGTCGAACCGAGTCGGACCACGTTATCCTTACAGACGACGCCGAGAAGAACTACGAGGACTTCTCCACCGCTGAGTTTTTCAAATCCGACGATACCCTGGGCATACACTTTGAGAACTCTGGCGTGTTTGAAGACGCGCGACTGCTGTTACAGTACAACTGCCCCGACGGCGAGTGCGATGTAGCCTGTCTAGGTTGGCCAGACCTACATCGTCACGTCAAGACGGCGCATGGAAAAGTCATGTGGTGTGTACTCTGCAGTTCTGAACAAATGATACTGGCTAACATTATAAAGTGACCTCTGTACGCGGAACAAAAAGGTCTTTACCCACGAGCACGTCCTATTCACGATGGCCGAGCTACGACGGCACCAGAAGTTTGGCGACGATAATCCTGGAGCGATAGATCAAAGCGGATTCAAAGGGCACCCGGAGTGCGGTTTCTGCAACCAGCGTTTCTACGGCGACGACGAACTGTACACCCATTGCAGAGACAAGCACGAGCGCTGCCACATTTGCGACCGCCGGGAGGGAGGAAGCAGGAAACAACAATACTACGTCAACTACGATTCGCTCGAGGTGCACTTTCGGAAAGACCATTTCCTTTGCCCAGACCGAGAGTGTCTAGAGAAGAAGTTCGTCGTGTTCGATTCTGAGATGGACCTCAAGGCGCACCAGTTGGAGGTGCATCCCAACGGTCTTTCCAAGGACGCTTTACGGGATGCCCGGAGAGTCGACATGTCTGGCTTCCAAATTAGGGCGCCTCACGAGCAAGGTCAGGGTAACAACAGGCGAGACGAGCGCAGACGCGAGGGCGGCAGAGGCCGTGGGCGCGGACGGGATCCGAACGCTGAGCCAGTGCCTGCGTCGTCTGCGCAGCCCTTGAGCAGAGCAGAGCTTGCTTACCAGCGGCAGAGGGAGGCTCAGAACACTCACTCGGTGACTGGAAGAACTTTTGGGGGCCAGCTCTCTGCACCAACTCCAGGCGAGGCGTTCGCTGCTAGACCGCCTCCAAGCGCCTCAGAGCCTCCTACCGTTACTGCGTCACGCCCAACCCCAGCGGCTGCCAACAATATCACAAATGGCGTCGCTCAACTAAGCATGGACACACAACCACCCAACCCAGTTCCACAGACGCCCCAGGACCAGGCTAGACTGTTGCGTCACAACGCAGTTACGGAACGGGCCACAAACATGCTTCGGGGTAGCGAGATCAAGCTGCAAGAGTTCAGAGCCGCGGTATCGGCCTATCGCAACTCCAAGGTATCCGCGCCACAGCTCATCGACGGGTTCTTTGCGCTATTCGACGCCAACTCGAAGGAGATGGGGAAGCTGATCAAAGAATTGGCGGACATCTTTGAGATGCCAGGGAAGCGTGAAGCTCTATTGAAGGCTTGGAATGATTGGAAGGCTATCAACGAGGACTATCCATCATTACCTGGCTCTGCGACAGGCTTGAACGGGGGATCGACTGCGCGAGGAGGTTCGCGGGTACTGAAGCTGAAGAGCTCAACAGCGCAATCATCTCGATCCACAGCCAACCAGCAAGCCAGTTGGTCAAACGCATCGTCGAGCAACCCATTCCCAGCTTTGCCAGCACCTTCGGGTCGTGTCGGTGCGAAGCCCGGACAAACGCCTTGGGCCTCATCTGCCGCAACGAGCGCGCGCCCCTCGCCCATGCCATCACGAGTCGCATCATCAACAAACGTGAACAAGAAGCCTGCTGCCGCAGACGCCTTCCCAGCTCTCCCCGCAGCAGCGAAACCCACCAGCACAATCTTCAGTCCTGGCTACACTGGCCATGGTCTACGACGCGACAACAGCGGACGCAACACTCCAGTGAGTAACCCTTGGGCTGGCCCGTCCGGCACGAATAGCGGTACGTCAACACCGGCTTTGGAGGATGCAGGAGCGGCAGGGAAGAAGAAGGGCAACAAGGGCAAAAAGCAGACACTCTTCCAGTGGGGTTAGCGGGTAGAATGTAGAGCACCCGATCTAAGCAAATAATCCAGAAGTCTACATTGCCTTGGTGTTTCGTCATTGTTCGTTGTTGAAGTGATGTAGACTTCAATGCACCTGTAAACTTTCTTCCTTGCATAAGGTGGGTTCATTGATAACATAGCCTGAAGGTATCAATGTGTTGTAGGCTGTGTATCGTCAACCGAGAACACCGTGTATACCATCAGGGTGCACTATACATCACTTCATCTGACAGAACATTCACATCAGCAGTAGTAACGAGAATGTGTAAACTAGTGATTTGTCCATTTGCGATTCCTACAGAAAACCGCCCACAACGTATTGATAGAAAACCCCAACAACGCCAAAATTCCAAAACGCCAACCCAGAACATGCATCCATAATCCGTAACCTGCCAACGACCATACCGTCAACTCGTATGCCTCTGACCAGCTCTCACGCATCCTCATCAAATTCAGCCTGGTTAGGCACCTTGGGGCCATCTTTGCGAATGGGGATCTTGATACCCTGCTGCGCAAAGCACTTGCTGAGCTTGGTGCTTTCAATGACACCGGGGAACTTCTTGGCGGAGTAGACAGTGAAGGGCTCGGTGAAGTTGGAGACAAGGCAAGGGCCTTTACCTTTGCTGCCGTCGTTCATGTGAATCGTGCCGTTGGTGCCGTCGTTGGAGCCAATGTCGAAAAGGCTGAGCTTCAGCCGGAATGTACCCTCGGTGCGCACACTCAGATCCTGTAGTACGAACCAAAAGCCGGGTTTTTGGTCGAGATCTTGGAGGCGGCATGCATTGACAGCGTTCATGCCAATGAGATTGCGGGTGTGGTTTGATCCCATGGGTGTTGCGGGAATCATTGTGTTTGTCATTTGCACCGGGGGCTGCCCGTACATGTTTTGCGGCATGGGGTAGCCCGGTGGTTGGGCCTGCCAGTATCCCTGAGGCCCTGGAACGGGGTTTCCACCGTACTGGACCATGTGCTGCTGTGGCATACCACCGCGGGAGTCGTACTGAACTTGGGCTGTGAACATGTGGTGTGTTCGCTCGGGCGGCGGAGGGTAAGAGGTGGTAGTACTACTTGATATCGACACGGTCGGCGCCGCGCTACTGTGTCTCACTAGGTTGACGGCATTGACTCCCTGCGCGTCGTAGAGGTCGACCATGAGCACGAAGTACGTGCTGTCGATGTCGTTGAAGGGGACCTCTTGTCCCGTGTGGGTGTCGTAGACGACCAAGCGGACGCAGGGCGGGGGTGTGATCGGCCTTCGATCCTTGTCACCAAAGCCGCACATGCGGGCTCGGATCGGTTGTTGTTCAACAACCAAGTCATATTTCCTGGTGGGCTTCGCCATGGTCTGCTGTTGCTGAATTGGCTCTGGGCGGCCAGTGCTAGTCCTCGAGTAGTTGTTGTAGGACATTTTGGCGTTGTGAGGTTGAGTATCTTGGTGTTGATTGGATGTGGGTGAGAGATGTTATGGGTAAGATTAACGGACGGGCGTGCACAAACTATATACTCTCCCAAGATTTAGGCGATGCGGAAGTGCGCCACGGGCCAACGCTACCTACAGACTCACCACTACAACCATGGTTCAGTATGGTGACATTACCCTTGCAAACAGTCATCAAATCGCCTTCATTAATGACAACTCAATGCGAAAAAGCCTCATGTACCTAGGTAGTCATCGAGTAGGATTGAAACGGGAATATTCCTATAGGGCCACGCAGGTGAGGGGGACCACAGCTGCGGGTCTCAGCCATGATCGGCGTTAGTCTCCGGCGCTACCTCACCCATGGGACGACCTCATAGACGAAAACGTCTGCGGACTACATCAAGACAAAACCCGCAAAGTGGGCGACTAACGTCAACGTAGGCTCCAGGCTGTTCAGTTTTTCTTAGGTTATGCGGACTACATCAAGACAAGAACGCGCAAAGTGGATGACTAACGTCGACGTCAGGTTAACAGGGGACGCGCACTTGTATAGGTAGCGCATAATCTGTATGTTTGCAGACTACATCAAGACAGAAACCTGCAAAGTAGGTGACTAACGTTAACCTAGGCTTCAGGATATCTTTTCTTATTAGGTTGCCCAGGTGATGTGGGACGCGCACTCGCGTAGGTACATAGCAACACCCGATTTGTGATTCGATCATTCTCTTGTCCATTAGCAATAGTATCCATACCACGTATCTACACTCTGCCATTTTCCAATCACGTGTTACACTCAAACATCCTCTGAGTCAACCAGGTGTGTGCGCCCTTTTCCCCTAATATTGGCCGCACCGTTCGCTCGGCTCCACATTCGACCACGCTCAACCACAGTACGAAGCAGGCTGAGCAACTTTGTAATGGACTGTTGCCTAGCTATCTTTCGCACTTGAAGTTGAAGCATCTCATTCAATGCACAAACTGGACACGTGACCTGAAGGCTATGTGGTGCCCTGGAGGCTACGTGGGTGTTCAACGCACCAACTGCAAAATCTTCCCGCAATGTAGACTTCTACGTGATTTCAATTGATCATCTTCTGTAGGTGGGTATAGAACCCGCATCCTGACGATCCGCTGGAGTTGGTGCCGCTTGACTATGTTCTTCATTCATGCTCATACCTAGGTACACCCGTCGTCGCGGTAGGTAGTGTGCAGCAACAAATTGAACCAAGGCGTGAAGCTAAGAAGTACCATCTCAATGACCAGCTCGCAACCAAGGTCAGGTCCTAGTCTGAGTCAAAGGCGCATTCTTTTGTTATTAACAACGTTCTCTAGTGTACTGGTAATGCAATCTTGTCTTTCTGAGACTAACTTCTAAGGTCTTTAACTATTCGAGTGCTGCATCTCATGCTTTGGTGTTTTGCACGATAAAAGAAAATACGTGAAGTCAAAGTCTGTCGGTGTAAAGTCAAGCATACTAAAACCCCTATAGCTCTTGCAGTATATCTTTTGCGCAACTGAAGGTAGACACGAGCTTCTTTTATCGAGACAATACTGTCTAGTTGTCTCTAAGTCGGGCCGTGTCTTTTGTTAGTTCAGCACCACAATTGTCATTGTCCCGACAGCTTTCCCTAGTTCCTCTTTGGCTGATAATCCTTGGTAGCCTTTGGCACCAAATGGATGTGTCAGTGAGATGCGTGACTTTACCGCAGACAGCAGGCATTAGGTGGTATACTACACCTAGGACATAAGATGTAGTTTGCAGCCTATACATATAGATGGCCTGAGATATTCGGCTCTCGTCGGGTTCTCTAGCAGACAAGGTCTATGGTACAAAGTGGAAAACGTAATATCCAAAAAGGGAAAGCAGGTAGCATTTGGGCAAAGAAGAGACCTCACTCACGCGAGACTTTCAACTTACGAGGAAGGTGCTTTGTCTTAGGTTGTTGCTATCATCTATTCTAAAAGAGAAACTGCGTAACTGTAAGGTAATTAGAACATGCTATTTCTTATTTGTATATATGATGGAGATTCTATCTACTAGATACTACATATTAAAGAGTACCCATGAATTACGCTAAGTCTACGCAGTGTGTCTTCCAAGCACGAGGCTTGAAACTCAAGCTCAGTCCTGGATAGAGCGTGTACACACAGAGTTTGATGACCCCACATAAAAATCCCGTTCCAATTGCCATCGTCTCCAGACTCTGATAATAGGCATCGTGGAGATCTGCTTCCAGTGCCTCGCCTTGGGTCCAGCTACTGTATGCAGACGTTTCCTTCGGTAATACCGTTATGCAGGTGCCATTGAGCGGAGCTTGCAGTATTGTCACCCGCAACTATGTTGGAGGCAGTTTTCCGACGTCCGGGAATGATACGAACAGGCTGCGATACACAGCATGAAGGTTGCTGAGTGAGACGTCGAGATGTACCGGATCTGTTGAGAGATCGTCGTACTGAGGACAGAGGATCCATAAGGATAGTCTCGTGTTGTGAACACTGCAAGTCATCCACTTCGATATCGATGAAACGGCGGAGATCTTGTCGTGTTGTCCTACCCATATCTGGGCATACGGCATAACGGCGCGAAGTTCACTTGGTCCGGGATGAAACGGGCAGAGAACTGTTCGTACGCAAGCCGAGATCCGCATGTCAACCCGTCAGGTATAGACTGCCACTTCACCCAATGTTATGCTTGTCCATCTCTTCATCGATCCAGCTCCCCCGCTTGACTCTAACCCGCCTCCTCCACTTATCCTGATCTTCTTGCTGCCCTCGCGTCTCCCACCCAGTCTCGCCATTCGCCGGTTCCGCATGCGTAACGTTCGGGCTGATGCGTCGGGGATCTACAAAGTCGGGGTATTGCGATCCGCCAAAATCGTGCGTGAGCAGGCTGCCGTTGAGTCTCGCTGATGCGCCCACACTCGCTGTACCACTTTGTGTCTTTTCCAGTGTCAGGGTATTCCGGCGTTCGAAGCTGTTACCGCGTGCGTAGGCGTTGTTCATGCTCTGATCGGATTCGGCTCGGACGCGCACGAGTTGGATGAGTTTGCCTAGGACGGCGAATTCGAGCTTGAGTTTGATGGAGTATACGACGCCTTTCAGGGTGGTTTCGATGAGGTACAGATTGGCGAATTCGACGCTGAGCAGGGCGATGTCCATGGCAATGATTAGTACGTTGATGGTGAGGAGCTGGTACATTGTCTTTCGAACGTTTGTGTTCTTGAGGTGCCCGTGGGATTGGTTTCCAGCGCTGTCGTCGAAACTGCGTACGTCGTCTTGTACCGTTTCCGAGAGTTTCAGTAGTCGTACCGTCTCCTTGATGTATACTATGGACAGGATGGTTTCTTGCACAAAGAAGCACACCATCTGCACTTTCTCCATTATCGAGTATCCGCGGACGAAGCGACGCAGCGTAGCATCGGAAAGCGAGTTCGAATTGGAACCGAAGGTCAGGACGGTCGTAACTGAGTGGAGCAGTACGCCATTGACGATAATCATGTAGAGAGTCCAGCGAAGGACTCGGCGCGAGTTCGTAACGAGATGGAGACGCGACCATAGAACGACTGATT